AAAAGACTGTTTTGCTCTTTCTGAAGAATAGAAAGTTCTTAAGTGGAAATGGTTGTGTGGCTTGGAGCTATAAATGGCAAAGCTTATTAAAGGAAATATCCTTTTGGTAGATAGTTGGAAAGCACTTTATACAACTCCCCAGGCTAGGATTGTGTCGGTGAGGGTTTGATAGAAATTGGAGAGTCTCCCTTTGTCTCTGCGAGAGCCGGGGGCCTGAGCCCTGTGGGCCACGCAGAGCACTGGCCAGTCCACAGCACCAGTCATTCCAGCTGGCTACTACCAGCGTCATTGTCCTCCATCAGAGGAACTTTGGGCTTGTTGTGATCTACCACAGCCTGGTTGGTGCCCAAGGACCCCCCCCAACATTTGTGCCCATGATGCCTGTTCTGTCTTTGCTCCCCACGTGCACTCCCTGTTCAAGTCTGGTCTCGTTTCTCCTCATCTTTTCCTGTTACCATGTATTTACTCTTCTTGAGGAACCTACTGTTAGGAGCTCCAGGATTCCTGGACAGTTTATCTGTTCCATCTGCCTTTTAATAAAACTGGGTTCGGGATGAAGCATTAGAGAAATCAGGTCTTTGAGTTGGTGGGGGAGTTGGGAAGAGTGCAGCGAGGACTACCATATAAGAAAAACTATCATTTGAAGCGTTCAGGCTTACCTCATTAAAAAATATTGTTCACATTCCTCTACTATAACTGAGTGTATTGAATTTTAAAATACCTCAGGGGGGCCGGCCCCGTGGCTTGGTGGTTAAGTGCGTGCGCTCTGATGCTGGTGGCCCGGGTTCGGATCCCGGGTGCGCACCGAGGCACCACTTCTCTGTCCATCCTGGGGCCGAGTCCCACATACGGCAACTGGAGGGATGTGCAGCTATGACGTACAACTATCTACTGGGGCTTTGGGGGGGAAAATAAATAAAAATAAAAATCAAAAAAATAAAATAAAATACCTCAGGGTCTCCATGATAAGCCTCAGCTGTCATGTACTGGGAAGCCTTCAGTACCATTCCAGTGGGCAGAGGGTTAAGCTGTGGAGGGGGCAGATTGGGGTTTTGTATTTGCGTTCCTCAGTATCTGTCTGTATTTTACTTTGCCCACAGATTGGGGACCACAAATTCAGTGCTCACCGGATCGTCTTAGCAGCCTCAATCCCATACTTCCACGCTATGTTTACAAATGACATGATGGAATGCAAGCAGGATGAGATTGTAATGCAAGGAATGGACCCAAGGTACTAAATTCCTCCATTAGGTTTCACAGGCTGCTTTCCAGGTGTAGCTTCAGCCTTGTGCTTGGTGCCATTTGAGGGCACCAAGACATAGTATCTAGCACGCACACAATAGGCAATTAGTAAACAAGTTAGAACCTCAGCCAGTGGCCTGAGACAGAGTTAAAATGAGGAGAGTTTTGATGTATTTTCACTCTATTAGAGTAACACATTTAATAGGAGCTAGAGTCCAAGATATTTTTTTAAACTAGGACTTGGGGGGCTGGCCCGGTGGCGCAAGCGGTTGGGTGCGCGCACTCTGCTGTGGCGGCCCGGGTTTCACCGGTTCGGATCCCGGGTGCACACTGACGCACTGCTTGGCAGGCCATGCTGTGGTGGCGTCCCATATATGGTGGAGGAGGATGGGCATGGATGTCGGCCTGGGGCCAGTCTTTCTCAGTAAAAAAAAAAAAAGAGGAGGATTGGCAGATGTTAGCACAGGGCTGAGCTCCTCACAATAAATAAATAAACTAGGACTGGGTACAAAGGTAGTGGTATATTATTTTCTGCACTTTTCAGTGCCACCCATTTTAGCTGGAAAAATAGTTTTTCAAATAAGTATCTTTACTCATTACTCTTCTCTTCAGTCTAAAACAGTGTTGTCCATTAGAACTTTCTGCAGTGATGGAAATGTTCTATTTGTACTGTCCAAAATGGTAGCCACTAGCCACATGTAGCTGTTGAGCACTTGAAATGTGACTAGAAGCACTGAGGAACTGACTTTAAACGTTTATTTAATTTTAATTCATTTTTTTAAAATTTTATTTATTTTTTAAAAAATTTTTTGTGAGGACAGTCAGCCCTGAGCTAACATCCAATGCCAGTCCTCCTCTTTTTGCTGAGGAAGACTGGCCCTGGGCTAACATCTGTGCCCATCTCCCTCCACTTTCTTTGGGATGCCGCCACAGCATGGCTTGACAAGCGGTGCATCGGCCATGCTCGAGATCCAAACCCACAAACCCTGGGCTGCCGAAGCGGAGCGCGCACACTTTAACTGCTACGCCACTGGGCCGGCCCCTAATTTTATTTTATTTTTTTTTAATTTTTTAAAAATTTTATTTATTTATTTTTTTCCCCGAAAGCCCCAGTAGATAGTTGTATGTCATAGCTGCACATCCCTCTAGTTGCTGTATGTGGGACGCGGCCCCAGCGTGGCTGGAGAAGCGGTGCGTCGGTGCACACCCAGGATCTGAACCCGGGCCGCCAGCAGCGGAGTGCGCGCACTTAACCGCTAAGCCACGGGGCCGGCCCCGGCCCCTAATTTTAATTCATTTAAATTTAATTTTAAATAGACATGTGTGCCTAATGGCTACTATATGGAACAACAGAAGTCTAGAAGGTGGCAGGTATTGTAGTTATTTGATGGATGAGAAAATTGAAGCCAAAGGAGGTCAAGCCCAAGGTTATCTAGTTAGCCAGTAATCTGTCATGTTTTCCTAACCTCTTAATCTCATAATGGTGAAATGAGGGGGAAAGGAGCTAGGAGACTGTGTGGTACCCTCTAGGTGATTGAAGGTGATCTGCCCAATATATGGAGAGGATTTATATACCCACTGCAAAGCAGAAGTCTCAGGTCAGCTGCTTGTAAGGAAAGACACAGAAGTGGGTCTCCAAGGGCAGTTGTACCTCTTCTCTGAGGTCTGTATCTGAAGGAGCCTTGCTGATCACCAGGCACAGTCCAGACGCTTCATTGAACAGAGATAGACTGAGCACATGTGATTGTGCTACTGTAGGCACTGAGGTATATAGCAGTGAGAACACAGAAAGCACCCCTTATTGTGCCAACTTTCTAGTAGTGGGGATCTGGCAATGAACAAATCCAAATGCATGACATGGCTGGGAAGTGAAAGTGATGTGAGAAAAGTAAAGCAGAGTAAAGGCTAGTGAGTGATGGTGAGGGTCTGTGCTATTTCAGCGTGATCAGGGAAGGCCTCTGTGATGAGGTGACTTTTGAGCTGAGACCTTAACTGAAGTGAGGGTGAGCCATCTGGGGGAAGAGCCCTCCGAACAGAGGGAGCATCCAGTGCAAAGGCCCTGAGGTGAGAGTGTGTTCAGCATGTTGGAGTAGAGTGAGGAGGGAAAGAGTGGAATGTGATGAGGTCAGAGAGATGGAGAGGGGCCAGACCACATACAGCCCTATAGACAGAATTTGGATTTCATTCTCAGTGTGAATTGGAAGCCAGAAAAAATGTTGCAAATCTCATTCTGGAAATTTATCTCCCCAAAATAATCCAAAAACATTATTTATAATGGCAGTAAGTGATAATAGCTATTATGCCTACCAATAAAGGAAATAAATTATAGCATATTTACATGTTGAAATATTATATAGCAGCCACTAAAAACAGTAAACATGAAGATAGTGTAGCAACATGGGAAAGACCTGCATAAGTATTATGTGATTATATCCATACACTTTATGTGTGCAGGTGAACAGGAACTGAAAATGAGCCTAAGAAATTGACCACTGTTGACTCATTTGGTAGTGAGATTGTGGGTAATTGCTTTCTCTCTTTAGAATTTTCTGTAATAAAATTATTTGGGGAATAAAGGCAACTTAAGAAGTAGAATGAGTCTTTGGCTATGGTGAAATAATTATTCCATTCAGATAGATTCTCAAAGGGAATGGGCTAAACGGATTTTAGAGCAGGGCCCATCCTTCCCCAGGTTGTAATGTCAGCTCACTTAGGGCCTGAGTCTCCTGTGGGCCAAGACCCATCTCTGAAGAGCATCTTTCTTCTTTCCTCTAGTGCCCTGGAGGCTCTGATCAATTTTGCCTACAACGGCCACCTTGCAATTGACCAGCAAAATGTCCAGTCATTGCTAATGGGGGCGAGCTTCCTGCAGCTGCAGAGCATCAAGGACGCCTGCTGCACGTTCCTCCGAGAACGGTGAGCTGATGTGATAGGCCTGGCTCATGGTGGGGAGCATGACCATTTTGTTTCCAGAATCCCCTGCCAGTTTGCTGAGTCTTTGGGGCATATAGAGTTTTATGAAGGCAGTGAGCTGGGAAGGTTACTCTGCAGAAATGACCTTTTTTGAAATTAATATCAAGCAGTGCAGGTTTGGATGGACCTTTGAGGAACATGATTTATGGAACCCTGCCTAGAGTCTCCTTTGGCCTGACATGTACCTCTTCTTCTGGTCCTCTCCCTCCAAACTGACCAGCCACTAATTTAGCTGACTGTTCTCACCAAACCAATGTATTCAGTGCTCCTTAACTGTTCCACAGCCATCTCCATCTTTGTTTAGCTCCTTCCCCTTCCTTGAGTTTCTTGACCTTCCTTTCTCCTTTAGCTTTTTAAGATCCCACCCACATTTCACCTCCTGGAATTCTCCCCCTCAAGAAGCAGAGCTCTCAGTCGTAGGGTAAAAGCCACCTTTTAACCAGTAGAGGGTTGGGGGTGAGGGTTAGTGCTGGGCCACACACAGTGGGGAGAAACCAGAACTGCACCCCTATGTCTGTGGGTGCTCTCCAAGGCCCAGCCTCCACCTGAGCTACCCTGATCACCAGGTCCCTGGCCTGAAGACCAGCATTCCTCCTGTCTCAGATCTGCCCTCCTGAACCTCATCCCCTCTTAGAGCTGACTCCCCATCTCCCATTCCCGCTCCACCAATCCAATTTACTTAGCAGCTCTGTGGATCCTGCCTGTTGTCCACATCCTGCCCATATGGTGCTCATGGACATCACTGAGCACTGCTGTATGTGCATCTAGTCATAATAACTGTGGTACTGATGCCTGATGTGCAGGGATGCTCTCTGCTGGGCAGGGGTGATTGGTTTCATCATGAGGTAGGTGGTCCTGTTCTGGTTTTGCAGATGGAGACCACGTAGTGAGAGTGCAGCCCGAGAGCCTGGCTTGTCCCTGCCCTGGGATGCCTTCTGGGTCAAGCTAGAGGGATGCATGAGTGAGGCACTCTGGAAAGGATTAAGTTGGCCACCTCACCAAGGGAACAACAGCTCCACCTACGGGCTTTTGTGGTCATCACTGTCAACACTGGGTCCAGGCTGTGTTATAAAGTAGCGTCACCTAAAAGATGCTTAGAAAAGTGATTTTTAGACCAATGCAGTTTTTACACGCACCAATGACATTTTAGGAAAAGGTTCTTAAACACAAAGCCTAACGTTTTGAGTCTGTCCTTGACATTTTTTCATTCAGCCCCGCAAGACCCCTTTTAAGCTTAAACTCACACCTTATTCCCATTTTATTCCCTGCCACAGGCCCCATAGGCTTGGCCTGCTTTCTAGTTTCTCTCCAGCAGTTACCATCACTGCCTCTATTCCTTGGGGTGATTCTCCCCGAGCCTGGCTGCAGAGTGTGATGGGGTCTCCCGGCTCCCCCCCTTCCTGTGTGCCCTTGAAGACAAGCACATGGCCCTTCAGTTTCAAGGTTTGATTACTAATGACCTGAGGGAAATCATTCTGAGCAATAGTGGAAAAGATGGTGCATGACAGAGCACAAAGAAACTGCGAGGCTGTCGAAGTTCTTGGAGCAATAGTTCCTGAGGCAACTCTGCCTGTTAGAGCTTCAGCCTCCTGATTTTTGTGTTGTTGTGGCCCTTTTCCCAGCCTTCAGATGTATGCATCTCCTTGTTTTTAGGTGAGCACTGGAGCTGTGTATATTCCAAAACTCTTCTATCAGAACTGGACTAGAACATCAAATGCATCAATGAACCAAGGCAGTAACTTAATCCAAGTCACTGCTTCGTGCCTCTGATAAAGCATTACATCATATGTGGCCTCCTCGCTTGCAAAGTCAAGCTATGTCAGCCAGGAAGGAGGTTGTGAAGTAGCTAATGAAAGATGTGGTTCTCTCTCTACCCTTTTGGTTTATTTTCCCTCTCATCTCCCTCCCGCTCCTGAGTGGGCCCCTTCCCTGCCTGGTAGCTCTCCCTCCTCTTTCCCCACCAATTGCCTCACAAACAGACTTCCCACATCCCATCCTCTTGGATGTGAAAGCCCACTTCAGTCAAAGGTGTGTTTTGTGTTCACTATTATGCCAAGCCAGTCAACGACAGCCAAAGGTAAGGTACAGGAATCCTAGTCTGAGAGGGAGAGGATGGAGATATATGCCAATCAGCTATATTGATAATCCTTTCCCATATCTTTGGACTCTATCCAGTACTTAGTCTATGGCATTTTGAATCCTCTTGAGTTGATGGCAGAGCAGTAGGGATGAGTGAAGCACATGCTATAGAGGCCCAGGGAAGGTTTATCCTCATATCTGCCATACATGTGTAAAGTGCTTTTAACAAGTCTTATTCAGTCACTGTGAGTGCTCCAGGAGAAAGGCGTTATTTGACATGACTGAGCTGACATCCTGACCTTGAGCCCTGTGTTCCTCGCTGGCCACACTGCCTTGTCCGTGTATTGCTCAGTGCACATGTTTCCTTGGCCTTTGGAAATGCACAGATGTTTCCAAAGTGGTGGACAGAGCCAGTTCAGGCTGGAATGAAACAACAGCTCTGTAGAATTTAGACTAGCCACAAAGCCAGGCTCCTGAGGTGCTCTGCCCTTTCAGTCCCTGACAGGTCTTCTGCTGTGGGACAATAGTGATTATGAATTTCCTAAATATAACGTTGTGTGTATAACCTTAAACAACATGGAGGAAAAGAGAGAAAGCATTCTAATGAAAAAAGTAAACCTGGGCAGTTTTAATCTGATAAATACCATCTCCCTCCACAGATTATCAGTCACAATATCAAAGTAAGAGAAGGCCCGTCCTCCATTGTCTGCTGCTGTCATGAAGATTTCAGAACCATATTTGGGATTTTTTCAGATGCAATAGTAGTAAGAAAACAACCATGATAAAATTAAAACAGAAGCTAACTTCATACGAGGCACCATGCTGAGTGCTTTTCCTACATTCTTATTTAATCATGGCCACCGCCCTGGGAGATAAGTAGCTGTTGTCATCACCTTTTTCCAAGTGAGGCTGTTACTGACACTTGAGGAGCCTAAGGAACCTACTGAAGTCACCCAGTGAGCGGCATGGCCAGGATTTACCGGCCCACGAGTGCAGATCTGCCTCGGGGTCATAGGAACACGCACAAGAGGCTGGGATTCAATCTCAGCACCACCACTTGCTTGTAGGGGGACTGTGATCACATGTCTTAGTTTCTCTGAGCTTCAGTTTTCCATCTAAAACTGAGAGCAATTACTACTTTGCAGTGTTGTTAAAAAGCTTCTGGAAAATGAGTATAAAAGGCCTAGCAAAGTATTTGACTCACTGATGGTGCTAAATAAGTGATAGCTGCCGCTGTTGTTTCTGAATGTCTGAACACTTAGGCCCGTAGAGCCTCTTTCTGTTTAAAAACAGAAAGAAATATAAGGGTCCTGATGTTAGAACAGTCGTCTCTTTGTGTGGTTTAAACTCGCATTCTCCAACTCAGTGCCTTCCTGGTGACCAGAGGTGGACACTCAACCAAGAATGTCAGCGGCTGAAGGAAAACAAATAGGTTTTCCAGTACACATTCTCCTGTTCTTCTCTCTTGAGAGCTGCTTCACAGGACTTCCCAGAGGGTTCATTCCACCTAGATGCACAGAGCAGTGGGCCCGAGAGGCAGGGACCTTTGAGGATAATCTGTCTTAATTTTATACCTTTCCAAGTAGAGTCCCAGAGAGGCGCGCCTAATGTCACACAGGGAGTTTTTAACAAAGCTGAAGACCAAGCTTGTTTTTTTCCATTCTGTAGCTCTACCCAGAACCAACCTGAGAATGATCAAGGATAACATTCTTTCTTTCTCTAAATTTTTTCTTTTCATCTTTTCTTATGCCAAAAGGCTTCACCCAAAAAATTGCCTGGGTGTACGCCAGTTTGCTGAGACAATGATGTGTGCCGTGCTGTACGATGCGGCCAACAGCTTCGTCCACCAGCACTTTGTGGAGGTGTCCATGTCGGAAGAATTCCTGGCCCTGCCCTTTGAAGACGTGCTTGAGCTGGTGTCTCGGGATGAGCTGAATGTAAAATCAGAGGAGCAGGTCTGTAAAGCGAAGTAGCAGGTGACACAGGGGCTGCTGCTCTAATCTTTGTTTTCTATTATTTGCTTTTTTTTCAAAATGAAGAACATAATGTGTATGAAGCTGTTGTTTATTATGGGTTTGTTTTATTATTTCATGTGCATTTTTCATGAAAACTTTTTTATATTTCAGTGTCTAAATAATATTCAATTGATTTTATCAAGCCTACTTCCCTTATTCTTAGATGTTCAGGTTATTTCCAATATTTACTATAAGAAATTATGCTGCCGTGAACTGGAAATAAGCATAGATAACTTTTTGAAAGAGTCTTATTCTAAAGAAGAGCAGAACATTGGGGCAGTTGCTGGGGGCGGGAATATGAAGTCAAGAGGTGTTCATTTTTTTTTGAGGTGAGAGAAATTATTGTACATTTGACTGCTGATGGGAATATTCCAGAAGAGAGGGAAGAATTGGTGATGTAGGAGAGAAGGGAGAATAGTTGCTGGAATGATGTCCTGGAGTAAGTGAGAAGAGACGGAGTCTGGGGCACAAGGGGTCTGTATTTGATAGGAGCTCAGGCCATTCACATCTACCACCGCAGGAGGGAGAACCAGGATACCCCAGATACGGGGGGGGGTGGGGCAGGTGGGAAGGGAGATACTGATAGATTCTATTGACATTCTCCTCTGATTTGTTTCTTCTATTTTCTCAGCTGAGAATGAGGATAAGGGAGGAGTGTTAGAAATGTGAGGAGAGGCGAAAAGGTATGAACTAGGCCTCTGGGAGAGGGGGAGAGTAAATGGATGATGCTAGGGAAATGGAGAGGGCTTCATAAAGGAGGCAAGGCCTGATGAGATTAGCAGTCACAAATTCAAAATAAACTGGTCAGCTCTGTTGTGTTTTCTGTCAGCCACATATACTGGGGCAGGTGCAGTGCAGGGGGTGAGTTGACTCTAAAGAGCTGGACTTTACCAGGGTAGAGACTTTTTTCCAGGTGTGTGTGATAAAGGGAGATCGATGTGTAGCATGGGAATTGAGGGCACCTGCATAATAACCCATGGAACCCATGCTGCATGAGAGAAGTGAGGAAATAGGCCGGAAGAGGGACCTGAGAGGGAGGTTAGGGAAGGGGCAGCGGTGTCAAAGGCTAAGGCTAAGTGGAGTCAGTTACTGAGCTGGAAGGATTAGAGGCACTGGTATACTTAAAATTATGGAAGAGGTGAAGCTATTGGCAGAGCAAGGTGTGGATGATCATAGGGTCCTCGAAGGACAAAGAAGACATCTTCTTGGGGTGGTCAAGAAGAGCCTAAATGAGAGTGTAGGGGGTTGGTGGTCAGAAAGGAGCAAAGAACGATCCTTTTTGTTCAACAAAGGTGTGATGCAAGTTGCCTTCAGAGGATAGTGAGTAAATGTTACTTTGAGCAGAGGCTGGTGAGGGCTGGGCAGTGGTGGGTGTTGAATGGGAGGGTGAAAGTTTGGACGTGGCGCTGCATGCACTGGGAGCACCACTGTGGCCAGGCCTTTTCCCGTTCGGTCAGTTGGGAAGTCTAACCCAAGTCCGTGGCAGAGCAGCTTGGGATATTTGAAATCAGGAGTCCTGGCCTGTCATGAAGCTGTGCTTCAGCAGGAGGAGCCCCAGGCTTCTGGAGGCAAGCCACTGGGAGGTTAGTCCCAAGTCGGCTCCTGTCCTTAATGTCTGAAGAGCCCTCACCCCTGAATATTAGAGAGCAGTAGAAAAGTGGACCCTGAGCCCGGCAGTGTGGGTGCTGAGATTTAGCAGAAAGAGCTCCATCCTAAGAGCAAAGAATTCTGTCCCTAGCTCTTCCACTAATTAATATGACCTGGGGCCACCCACATGTATTGGAGTGATTCATTCTATAAGGGATATAGGGTTTTAGAGGGAGATATCCTTGTGGCTGGAGCCATTAGGGAAGGCTCCTTGGAGAACATGGGGCTGGAACCAGCCTCAAGAGAAGTGAGTTTAGATGAAGAGCAGGAGATGAGGGGGCATTCTAGGTGAAGGGGACAGCCAGCCTGGCTAGAGTAGAGAGTGGTGGAAGGAGTTAAGGGTAAGGGTACAGGAGCAGCAGGAAGGAAGGTAAACAGGTATTTTGTTGTGATGCAGAAAGGAATAAGGACCCATTGACAGGTTTTCATTAGGAAGTCATAAAGCCAGGAAACTTTCTAGTAGCCTTGGCTTGCATTTCAAGAGACTGGACCAAATGGGATAGCTGTGGAAGTGGAGAGAAAATAGTGGATTAGGGAGACAAGTAGGAGGAAAGATTCATGGGTCCAAGAGACTGCCTTAGTGTAGCAAGTGGAGGGTTTGAGATTAGGGCTACAGGGATGTGGCCTCTGGGTGGGAGGAGTTGCTGCTAGAGCCTTCACTGTCTGTCATGGCAGGTCTTTGAAGCCGCGTTGGCCTGGGTCAGATATGACCAGGAGCAGAGGGGGCCCTGCCTGCCTGAGCTGCTGTCCAACATCCGCCTGCCCCTCTGTCGGCCCCAGTTCCTGTCAGACCGAGTGCAGCAGGATGACTTGGTGCGTTGCTACCACAAATGCAGGTGAGCAAAGGTGGGCCTGCACAGGACACTGCTGAGGGTCTGGCCAGAAAACAGACCTTGGCCACTTAGGCCATTTCTGTACCAGCTCAGGGAGGAAGGATTTGGAGTGGTCAGTCTTAATTCATGGCACACAGATTGATTTGCCTTCTGTCTCTTACACCTTGGGCAGAGAAATGTGTCATGTGGGAGCATCAAAGCAGAAGGAGCTTCCTCCACTCAGTTATCTGAGGATTTTCTAGCATCGTCATCCATTGAGCTATTTGTGAACCTGTAGGCGTCTATACTGCCTGCCCTGACTCTGTTCACACCAGTAGCTGACTTAATGCTGACTTCCTGGGGCTCCTTGCCTTCTTCAGTAAACATTAGTCAGCATACTGGCCTCAGGTGGGTTTGCCATCTACAGTGATGGGCAAGGGGGAAACCTGTTTACCAGCACGAAAAACTTATCCAGAGTAGATCAATGCCAACATGGTACAGCGGAGCTGCCAAAACAGGTCAGAAGATGGCTGCCCTATAGGAGGATTGTTATAAAAGTAGAGCAGCAGAGAAAGATGTTCATCCTTCTTCAAATTGCTTGTCATATTCACAACTGGTTCAGGAGGAAGTCAGTGGCTTGGTGCAAGCAATGTGAAGGTGTGTATCAGATAGGGGTGGAGGTGTGGCTGGAGATAGCTAAAACCTCTGACGAGCAGTCTCAAGGGTGCTGTTGAGTTTAAACTTCATTCTCTAGGCAATGGGTAGTTATCAGAGGTTCTTAGAAAAACAGTTTGGACTGTAGTGTGGAGGGTGGAATGGAGGGGTGGGGCTGGAGGCAGGGAGCAGTCAGGAGCAGTTGGCTTTGCTGCCACAGTCCAGGTAAGAGATGGTTAATTGCAGGGTGTGAGGCACGGGGGTGGAAAGGAAGAGCTGGGGCTGAGTGGCAACAGGATGCAGGCTGCTTGTTGAACCTCCCCAAGGCCAGCTATTTAAGGCACAGCCCTGTTTTACTTCTGCCAGGTGAATGCCTGTTAGATGATATTCGTTCTGACTAAACTAGAGGAGGGCTCTACTCATCTTGCCCCTTTAATTTTGAGCGTGTCTCAGTAGCTGTGTATGGTTTCCCCTGGACTCACCTGGGTTCTTGGAGACCCTGAGTTCTCTGAGAAACCTTCTAGGTTTCCCCTACAGTTGCGGGTGAGGGAGCCAGGCTCGGAAATACAAATGTAGACCAAGTGGGGAGAATACCTCCTCCTAGCATCTTGCACCTTATTCTAGGGACCTGGTAGACGAAGCAAAGGACTATCACCTCATGCCAGAGCGCCGGCCCCACCTGCCGGCCTTCAGAACTCGGCCTCGCTGCTGCACGTCCATCGCTGGGCTTATCTATGCCGTGGGGGGCCTCAACTCAGCAGGTATCTTGCAGCTCCCCTTTGCAGAGCTCTGTCTTGGACTCCGTGGAGGAAGAAGCACTGAACAACCTAGCCTGGCCCTCTGGTTCCTCTTGGTTGGGGCCCTCACTGCCCTTGTCCTTCTTGATTTTGTGTAATTGTTCTGCAGTTAGAGCATGTCAGATATTAATACCATTGGATTAGAATATCAGAGCTAAAGAGGCCTTTAGAAATCCTTGAGGCCTAGCCCCCTTACCTTACAGATGGGGAAATTGAGGCCCAGAGAACTTGAGCTATGTTAACACAAGTTGTTTTTTGGCAGAGCAAGGACTAGAACTCAGGTCCTGGTTCCTGAGCCAGCACTCTTTCCCTGATATCACATTGGCTATAGATTACTCAGCCCTGGATGAGGATATAGTCAGAGACCCACTCCTGTTACCAGGGTAATCACATTTGGTCCTATGGATCTCTGAGGTTAGACTGAGAATGTCACCATAAGAAGGAAGATTCTCCAAATACACAGTGTCTGCTGTTATCAGTAATACTTTTTACGCTTCACCTCTTACCTCCTGTGAAACACACACATGCTTTACGGCCTGTGTGTTATTGGTAGCTCTTGTATCATACAGTCATGTTTTCAGGAAAGCTGAAAACTTTCCTGAAAAGTTTTCCCCCCCAGGCACATTACAGGGCAGTAGAGATTTAGTAGAGAGGGCAATGTGGATGCCTGAATTTTTGCAGTACAATGGCACAGGGAGTTGTCACCTCTGATGTGAATGCATGGCCTTTTCACAGTGTCAGTCCAGGTTTGTGGGAGGTGGGGAGTTGGTGGGAAGTCCTGGGCACTTTTGTTTTTAATTGAAGGTTAATGAGAGGTGGGTAATAGTCTCTGCTGCTTGTTAACCATATGACCTGGAAAAGGTAACTCCTCAACTAGTAAATGCTGGAGTGCGCCAGGTGCTAAGTGCCCCAAAGCAGAATAAAACGGAGGGGGATTATTTGATCCAAAAAAAAAAACCTGATGAAAAAATTAGGGTTGGAATTATCGTTCCTCACTACTATGGCTACTATTTATTCAGCACTTAGTATGTTCTAGAACTATGCTAGGTGCTTTACCTATTATATCATTTCATCCTCATGGGAACTCTGCCATAGAAATTATTTCCATTTCACATGTGAGAACAGAAGATGGGGATACAAAGCAACTTGCCCAGGATCACCCACTAGTAAGTGAAAGTCAGCATTGGAACCCATGCCCCCTTCTCTGGGCGTGCCTCCTGCACTGGGGAAATAGTGTATCCAGTTGCCTTCATCTTTGGCTTTAAACAGGTGGAGTACCTCATTGCAACTTAAAACTGCCCTCTCTAGAAAGTAAATGCCTCCTGTCTGATTCTGATTTTCCTTAAAGAATTAGGTTTGAGGTTATATCGTGGCTGAAATTTCTTTCTTTTTTTTTTTTGTGAGGAAGATCAGCTCTGAGCTAACATCCATGCCAATCCTCCTCTTTTTTTGCTGAGGAAGACTGGCCCTGGGCCAACATCTGTGCCTGTCTTCCTCCACTTTATGTGGGACGCCGCCACAGCGTGGCCTGACAAGCGGTGCCTCGGTGCGCGCCCGGGATCCGAACCCGGACCGCCAGCAGCGGAGCGTGCACACTTAACCGCTACGCCACGGGGCCGGCCCCTGTGGCCGAAATTTCTTAGTGGGCCCTTTTGGCTTGAGTAATTCTGTGGGAAGAGCTGATAGAATCAAGTCAAATGTTCCATGTAATCATTGTCCAGCAACTGTGATCTAAACGAGTGGTCTCATTTGTTTTAATTTGAGTAGCAAATTTTTATGCAGGTGATTCCCTGAATGTGGTGGAAGTGTTTGACCCCATCGCCAATCGCTGGGAGAAGTGCCATCCCATGACAACAGCCCGCAGCCGCGTCGGTGTGGCTGTCGTGAACGGTCTTCTCTATGCCATCGGGGGGTATGACGGCCAGCTCCGGCTGAGCACTGTGGAGGTCTACAACCCAGAGACGGACACATGGACCAGAGTGGGGAGCATGAATAGCAAGAGAAGGTATTCTGGAAGCCATTTGTGCAGCCCAAACATACACACTGAGCATCTGGGGAGCGCCATGCTAGACAAGCAGACAAGCAGGGACACATAATAAAGTAAATACAAGCTCTGGCCTGGGAATTTCCTGCAGCCCGGCCAGCCACTGCCAGTACCTCCTGGAGCCAGCTCCCATCTGCTTAGAAGTAAAATCCCTGCCTTGTCCTTTGAAGAACTTGGGGAGATGTGACACGGACATGTGGAAGTTGTATTGTTATTTAAGTGCCAGATAAGGACTGAAAATGTGTATTATGGAAGATTCGAGGAGGGAGAGAAACTGGACTGGAATGTCTGGAAGATTTCAGGGAAGAGGTGGGATTAAAGTTGAAACTTAAAGAATAAAGAGGATTTTTTTTTTTTTTTAAACACAGGCCATCCAGCAGCTCCTGGGTTTTCTTTTCTTTTCTTTTTTTTTTTGAGGAAGATTGGCCCTGAGCTAACATCTGTTGCCAATCTTCCTCTTTTTCTTTTTTCTCCCTAAAGCCCCAATACATAGTTGCATATCCTAGTTGTAGGTCTTTCTAGTTCCTCTATGTGGGACGGCACCTCAGCATGGCTTGATGAGCGGTAAGTAGGTCCGCGCCCAGGATCCAAACCGGCGAACCCGGGGCCGCCAAAGCAGAACGCACCAACTTAACCGCTGCACCACTGGGCCGACCCCAAGGAGGATTTTATTAGTGATAAAAGCAAACAGGAGGTGCTTTTCTTTGTACTTTCTTTCCCCCAGGATCCCTGCCACACATGTGCTTTCACTACCCAGAGAGTGTATGAACCATAGCAATGTTCTTTAATTCAGGGCCACCACATTCCCCCAGGCATGAGCACATAGGTGTTGGTGAGGTGGATGAAGTTTCTATGTCTCTTAACACATTGCAGCTACTTGTTTCCTCCATCACTTGCCTGCTCACATTTCCTCAATAAGAAGTGGGATTAGAGGACATCCAATTAGTGCCTCCATTTAGCCTTCTTAGTGCTAAAGTGACAGGCGACATCTTTCCTTACATCAGGCGTGTGGGGTATTTTTTACATGGTTGGGCAGTGGGAGCTTTGGAGTGGGAGGGTGTAACTGGACAGGTTCTTCCATTCTTCTCTACCCTCAGTGAGGCCACACAGAAGAGTGGTTTCAAATGGCACTCTGAGGTTTCTCTCTGAGACTGACAGGAGAGGAAAGCAGCCTAAGGCCCCTACCTGTTTACCCAGAACAGCTCTGCATTTCTCTCTTTTACATATTGAGCTTCCTTGACATATGCCTAACTTTAGGGGATAGAAGTTAAATGAAATGTTTTTTTAAAGGGGCAGTTTGAAAACTCCTGGACTAGTTGCTCTTTAAGGCCCTTTCTGCTTTGTAATTCTGTGGTCTAAGTATTTGCCTTACAGACCCCTTTGGTCATGCTTTGAGTTTTCTACTTGTAAGATCTCATGGCTGCAAAAAGAAAAGATCAAGTGACTGCATGTGTGGTGAGGAAGAAGAGTCAGTTTGGAAGTCCTTTGCCACATAAAAGTGTCATGGCCATGATACACACGTTCCATGTTCAGCAGTGTTTGTGTGTGGCCTCGAGCCAAGAGGAATCTGCCTTTGTACCAATAAAACCAGATCCACAAATGGTCAAATTAGGTTCCTTTTGGAAGAAAAAAATATGTCTGTAAGATCTGCTCTTCCTGAGGCCATGAGCTAACACTCTCCTGGTTCCTTCCTCCCACCATCTCCACCTCAGTGCTTCCCTTTCCTGCTCCTTGGATACTCTGCAGCTTTCTATGGCCTCGAATGACTCATTGCTCCATATCCCCAACCATGAGTGCCTTTTTTGCGTTGACTGCAGTCAGTTGTTCTTCCTTGTGTGTCTGCTTTCGGCCACTGCCTTGCTTTGATGTCGCAGGGTTTGGAGTGTTATCTGGGAAGAAAGTCCTCTGGGTGTTCCTTTCCCTCACTTGGTTAATACCCTGTTATTAGTAGCATGAGCCCAGCTCCATTTCATCCCCTTTAAATTACAGGCTACCTTAAAATGTTCTCAGTCACTTCTCTCCTGACATCCCACATGGCTCTCTATCCTGCCCATCAGTGACAGCCTCCTTTCTGCCATCGTCATTCCTTCCCCTCTCTTCAGTCTTCCAGGCTGCTTCCATGGCACTTTCTCTCATGGACAATTCCAGTCTACACGGATCAGCATTTCCCTTCATCTCTTCACACTTGTCTTTACCACTTAGTTGATAGTTAATCACACAGTTTTGTGGCACCACTTAATTCTTTCTCATATTGTTGTTGAACTCCTGTATTATAACTTGTGTCTACTTCTAGAAGGATAGTGACATATCTAGTGAATTTGTGATCTTCCTACAGTCCTTCCCTAAGGCAAGTCCTTTTCCTCTTTCAGGCTGTTTCAGGGGGTCTGTTACCATGTCCCTCAAAGGGACATTATGTGGATCAGTTTGAAAACAGTGAATCGAGCAGCTCTGCATTTGTGTTTAATTTCTCAAGAAGCTTTGTGTAGAACAGATTATATGATTACACCAGACCCCTGAGTCTTTGACAGTGGGAGAGCTTGGCATGGTGAACAGCAGGGGAGTCAGGCTTGTCTCATTTTAATCCAAGCATGCCTCTGACTGGGTAGTCTCAAAAAGAGAGCCCAGCCTCCCTGAGGCATGGCTACTCCTCTGTACAGTGATGATGGTGATACTTCCTTGCAGGGTGTGGTGAGGGTGGAAAATAGCAAGCATAGAGTACCTGACACGTGTAGTATGCATAACAAACAGAAGCTGTTGCATCACCCACTAAGACAAATTACGGGCCACGCAGGCCCATTTATGTAATGAAAAGACATCTGTCAAACTTCATGATGAATTAAATGGGAAAATCAGGGTAACACAACAAACATATGCTGGGGGCCTGTTATGTACAAAGCACCACACTAAGCACTGTCAGAGTCACACAGATGAGGACCCCTGTCTTCCAGGAGGTCCCCAATTGTTAAGAGGTGCCAGGTAGATTCCCATGAGGCCAGAATGTAGCACCTGTGGGCAGGAGCTTTGGCTTGTTCACTACTCTAATGCTAGTGCCTGGGACAGCATGCCTCCTGAGTGCCTAATGAAAATCTGATGACTGAGTGAGTGAGTGACCACAGGTGCTATCATAAAGAAGCTGCTCTGGGAGTGTGGGGTCGGGAGAGAGTAATTCTTGCTGAGAGATCCAGGACAGCTTTTTGAGAAGGACAGAGAGGAATTTGACTTGGGCTTTAAAGGTAAATTAGACCCTGAGCACGGCCAAGTGGAAGATGAGCATTTCAGACAGATCAAGGACTAAGAAGTAGGGAAGGAGGTAACCTTCAAGGGGGTAGGAGGCAAGAGAAACCACAGGGCAGCTTCTTTCTCAATTTTATACCTTTACTTAGTCACATACCTGGGATTTAGGTCTTTTCTAGAAAGAGTCTTTGGTGGTTAGGTTTATTTCTCAGTGAGCATGAGAGGCTGCCCCAGGAAATCTGAGGCCCATCTGGGATGACAGCTCTGTCTCTTTCAGTGCCATGGGGACTGTCGTGCTGGACGGGCAGATCTACGTCTGTGGGGGCTATGATGGCAACTCTTCTCTCAACTCTGTGGAGACCTACTCACCTGAGACGGACAAGTAAGGACTCCAGCTCCCCTGGGGCAAATGGAGCTTGCTAAACAGAGAGTATAAAAAATTAGAACTGCAGTTTTTTATTTAAGCTTCTCAAGGATAGAGAATATCTTACCCTGTTAGCTCCTATAGTACCTTATAATAGATAAATAAAAACCTTTGGTTAAATGAATGAATGATTAAATAAATTTTAGAAGCAAATAGTGTACATAGATACTTGGAAGCATTTATTTAATGGTCTTAGCTAAATCAGCCCATTTTAATGGAAATGCAGAAGAAAGAGGATAAGAAATAGATGAACAGCATTTTCCAAAGTAGGATAGGTATGATTTGGGTAGGATATGATTTGGGGGGAAAAAAAGCAAGAAAAAAAGGTTATATGGTCAAATAAGCTTGGAAAACATTGAGATCTGTACCACCAGAGTCCTTATCTTTCCAATTAACATTTTAAAGGCTCTGAAAAATCTTGTGGGAGAGAAACCTAATTAACTTCATTTTTATATAACACCTATCACCATTTTGTGGAACACTCTGGAAAACACTGGCAAAGATAGCCCAAATTTTTCATTTCAGCATTTGAATCTTCTCATATTTTGTAATAAAATATAAGCAAATTTTAGTTGAATGGATTCATCAGAATGTTTTTAAGTCACTGTTCCATTCACTTAACCAACTTACTGTGTATTGGACGGCAACCTGGGTATCTGAGATCCTTAACTAGCACTCGGTCTGCTGGGGCCACAGGCCTGTCGTAATCACCTACCCTAGAGGCCTGTGTCTGGAGCTCTTGGGCAGAGTAGGGAGCACCTTCATCTTCCCCACAGTGGCAAGAGGCAGCGTTGCAGAGATGTCTTCTGAGGGGAGACCCATCATGGATAGACAGTGGGAGATGTGCATCGTAAGCAGGGAGACAGCAAGGAGAGGCTCAGAGATTAAAAAAAACAGTGCTCAGTGTGATCAAAGAGCAGGCATGGGTGGCACGTGGCAGGAGGTGATGCAGGAAGGTAGATGAGGACCAGGTGGTAAAGAACCACATTAAGGAACTTGGGCTCTGCCTTAGAGGAAACAGTGAGAAGCCACTGGAGGGACATGCTGTGTGGGGTCGGGGTGGGCTGGTCTGAAAGCCAGGCCACCTGTAAGGAGGCTGTTGTAATGGTCCGGGGAGAGGTCAGAGTTAGGGCAGCGGTAGTAAGGATGGGAACAAACAGTGACTAAGAGGCAAACCAGCAGGGACTTGTTGGCCACAAGAATGTTGAGAATGAGGGAGAAAAGGACATAAAAACACTGAGTTTATAAATACAGCAACTTGATAGCTGGTGATCCCATTAGCAAGACCAGGGAATCCAGAGGAGGAGCAGATCTGTAAAAGAGAGAAGCCTTGTTTGGGACATGCTGATTTTGAGTGTTGGCAGAGAAGACCAGCTGTGGATCTGAGGCTTGGGTGAGAGGTGGCAGCCAGAGAGAGCCGTCAGCAGAGGTGGTAGGAGAGGAGATAAGAGGTGGGGAGATTGTCCAGGCAAGAGGGAACACTGCACAGTTCACCCAAGCCCTTCTAAGCTGTGTTGGGAGGACAGCAACACCGAATCTCATGGCTCCCCTCCTACTTTGGCTCTTTCCTGAAGGTGGACAGTGGTGACCCCGATGAGCTCGAATCGCAGTGCTGCTGGGGTTACAGTCTTTGAGGGCAGGATATATGTGTCGGGTGGCCACGACGGTTTGCAGATCTTCAACAGTGTGAGTATGGGCTCCTCCCAGGCTAAGGGTACCTGCTCCTTCCATCTTGAAGAGTTAAAGGCAGTTCTTTGGAAAAAACTTCAGCCTTACCATTGCTGGCTAAAGCATCATCTAATGAGGTGTTGAGCCATCTGCTTTGTGCTCTGAAATTCTTTCAAGAATGGCGCCAGTATGCACAAAGGAGGGGCAGAGGTGCCACCCCCACCCTGATCCTGTTCAGTTCTCCATGGAACGCTGCCTGAGACCTGGTGAAATTCCTGCCCAAAGTAAGCTCAATTATATACAGTGTAAATTTGCAAACAGTTGTGTTCTTCTGGATAATTTGTTTGCAATTGAATTTATTCTTTAAAAGTACCTCAACAGCCATTTAGTGGTGATTCCATAGTGTCAGTCAGTGCTGTGGTAGAACGTACTCTGCACAGATTTCAGGAAACCCCGCTCTCGTCCTGGCTCTGTCACTACATAGCAGTGCATCCTTGGGCACCTCCTTTGTTTCCTTAGATGTAAACAGAAAAGGTCAGATTAGGTGATCTCTCACACTCTCCCTATAAGCCCAAGAGCAGGTGTGCAGCTGAGAAAACTGGGCACAGAGCCAGAGCACATGCTGGCAGAGCTCCACGTCCCCAGGCCTGTCACTGGAGTCTGACGGCGTGTGGGCCACTGTGCCCTGCAAGGTCACCCTGTGGCCTGAGCTTTGGCCTTCTCTCCCCGCTGCAGGTGGAGCACTACAACCACCACACGGCGACCTGGCACCCGGCAGCTGGCATGCTCAACAAGCGCTGCCGGCATGGAGCTGCCTCCTTGGGAAGCAAGATGTTTGTCTGTGGGGGCTACGACGGCTCTGGCTTCCTCAGCATCGCCGAGATGTACAGCTCTGTGGCAGACCAGTGGTCCCTGATAGTCCCCATGCACACACGCCGGAGTCGGGTCTCCCTGGTGGCCAGCTGTGGGCGTCTCTATGCTGTGGGGGGCTATGATGGACAGTCGAACTTAAGCTCGGTGGAGATGTATGACCCCGAGACGGACCGCTGGACATTTATGGCCCCCATGGCGTGTCATGAGGGAGGGGTCGGCGTGGGCTGCATCCCTCTCCTCACCATCTAAGGCAGAGGATGGGATGTGGTGGGGTAGGGATCTGGTACAAACATAGGCACTTCCTTCCAGGGGCAGTCCCTCTCGGGAGAGGCGGTGGACCAGAAGAAGGGGTGAAATGTGAGCTTGCCGGAGGTACAGTTTTTCCAGGTGCTTAAGTCCTCCTCACTGTGCTGCCCTTGTGACTTCAGGCCTAGGTCATCAAGATGCACAGCATGGGACAAGCCCCTCTGGGTCCTGTAGCTGGTGACACGGGACTGCTTTGCTGGTCCACACATACACAGGCTCCATCCAAGCCCAGCTCCCACCTGCCACAGCTCTGTGGGCCGCCGGCTTGCAGAAGGCCTTCCATCTCACTTCCTCCTCGCCTGCTGTTCTCTAGCCAGGGGTCGGCCAGTTTGCCATGGGGTGGCTGCAGTGGCCAAGCCTGTTGGAAACTGGGGTGTGGCTGAGAGAGGGACACGCTCCAAGTGTTCTCACTGCCTGCAGTGATAACAGCCACAGCAATGTGCTAGTTGCACACAAGCACCTCCTTCTTCCATATTAGGGCACAGAGGATTTTTGACCTCAATGCTGGGTAACCAGGGAGAACAGAAGCTTTCCTATGTCTAATTTTGGGATTTCCATGAGGTCTTTTTCATCTTGTTCAGGAGTAACAGAAGAGAAAAAAAGATACTTGAAAGAAACTGAAGGAAATTTAAACAAACACTTGAAAGAAACTGGAAAGAAAAATACTTTTTTTTTAAGTGAACATTTTTTGCAAGAAGAAAACATAAACGACACTAAAGGCAAGTATGTGTTTAAAAGGAAAAACCACCCAACGTGAAAAGGGCGGTATCTGCTCCCACATTCGGATCCCAGGGTCCTAAGGCCTCGCACAGCACTTGGGGTTCCCTCTGAGCCCCAGCGTGTCTGGAATCAGTGCAGTCTTGACTGGTCCTGTAGCAAGGTGCTCATGGGGTTTGTCTTCACACCCACCATCAGAGGACTTTTTTAATTGTAGGCTTAGTGAGTTGGCAGAATTACTGCCACTCCTCTAGTTGGGAGCTCCCAGCTTGTCACTGGAGGCTCCAGATGCCCCTGTGGTTACCTCCCACTGCCACATGGCACTCATTCAGATTCCCCATTCCCACTTTGATTCCTTCCTTATTAGACCAGCAGGAAACAGCAGGTCTGGCCAGATTCTCACTTGCCCATCTATCTGTCATTTTGGGATAGTTTTCCTCATTGTGAAGCTTCTGGGGCACATTGACCATTTGTACCTCTAGAACCTAACCAGGGACTTGGTCCTTCCACCAGCCATGGGCTGGCTTGGTCCAGTAACCTTGTCTACCCTGCCAGTCCACTACTCCTCCATCTACTCGCCAATTCCAGGGGTCTCGCCTCCCTCCAGCCCTTGCTAGACTGACCAGCAAGGTGGACCTTTACATTCAAGCAAAGCTGGCTTTATGATATAAAGAACTAAAGGCCGAAAGAATCTCTTCCTGCTGCAAAGAACAGATTTTATATTTCTTCCTTTGGATCTTAGAACATGACCTCTTGAAGAGACTTCATGCTCCTTCTTCCTCCTCCCTGGATGGGACCTTGATGTAGCACAGCGGGACCCAAACAGGAGGACACTTTCTATTACCAGTGCACTGGGCAGTGGGCTGTCCTTCAACTGCTGCTGCCAAAATCTGGTTTTATAAAATTCTTCCAGTGGAGACTAAAAGAGAATACAATTCCTTTAATGCAAGACTGGGTCTTAGGGTCCCAGTCTCTACCTGATTGGTCTCTTGTCCCTTGCTGCCTGCCTGGGGTGGCCTGAAAGCCTGTTCAGAAAGGCACAACGTGGAGCCTGAGACTTCTCTCCCACCCCAGGACTGTGAGGTTTACCAGTGTGTGCAATCACCATGTATTCAGAGGGAAGTACCTTTGTTACCTGCCACTTAGGAGCTGGGCCTCTGCTACACGCACTTGAAAATGATGTTTTTATTTTAAAAGACTCAACAATCTGATACAGTTTAGCATGGGATCAGGGTCCAGCTATGGCATTTCTCACTTCCTCTTGGTTGGCCTGCAGAGGTAGACTCGGAAGGTGGTTGGGATCTGTGTTTCCTGTTAGAGAGAAGTCTGTCAGTACTCTTATTATTATAAGCCTCTTTCTTCTGCGAATTTGAAGCAGCTCTGACGAGCCTGGATTGTGAAAGTGTTAAGAATCAGTCAGTGGGCCTCTCCAGGTCCTTAGGATGCCGGCCCCCATTTTGCTACTGGGGATGATAGATCATTTTCCGATGGTCTACTGCTCTTGTAGTGGCCTTCCTAAGTCCACTCCCACCTCCTGGTGTAGAAGTTACACTGCTGCACCTGAGGTCAGTGTTTCCAAGTAGGATGAAGCCAGTGCTTGGTTCGGCTCTGAGCACAAGTGAGCAAACAGCAGCATTTTCACACTCTTCCCAGTTGGTTCCTCAGTCTAATAATGAATGAATGTTTGCAAATGGCTGGTCTGGCCCTTGGGTGTGGGAGCCTTTCCAATAGTACCGTGAAAGAAAGAGACATCACCCAAGGATACTGTGAGTGTATAAGGAGGTAGGACAGATATTGTGCTCGGTGGGCCTTGGGATCTAGCCCAGCTCTGAGCAGAGGACTGTGGCATTCACTGTCCCTGGGCATTTCCCCTTCTTAGATAACACACAGAACTCTTCTGGGTTTCATCTGAGATCAAAGCCAGGATGGGAGCTGAAGACCAGCCTTTTGATTTGGCCACAGAGATGTGACTAGGTAGAAATTCTGCTCCTCCCCCCCAATTTGTTGTTTCCCAGAAAATCTTACTTCCTTTTATTTATAGAATGCATGTCTTTTGTGTTAAGAAACCAAAGAGAAATAAAGAATACACTCCTAATATTTTGCCCTTTCCTGATTTATTTTTACATGTTAGAAGTAAATCATATTTTTATTGTAATTCACCAAAAAAATATATTGGACAAAGTGAAAATATTCCTGTGAAAATAAGGGAAAAGCCAGATGTATAGCATAAGCAATCTTTGGAGAGACACACATGTATTTTATAAGAATGGGTTCTGGTGAAAAATACACAAAAGACTTCATTAGGCGTGTTGCACATTCGCTCCTGTCCAGATCACATTTCTCTTGGATTTCCTCTTTTCTTCACTCATTGCATAAAACTCCAGTTTCCCAATGGAAGGTGGCTGGCCTGTGGACTGCCTGGAACCAAAACCTCCAGCTCCCTTTTTATGAATCTAGGCCACAGGTGCTTAACTTTGGTGCACATAAAAGTCACTGGAAATCTTTTAAACCACAGGTTCATTCATAGAGCCCTCCCAGAGACCAGCTCCCTAGGACTGGGGTGCAGCTCAGGCGCTCTGGTGTGGGCAAGTTTCCATGGAGGTTCATATGCTCATCAAAGTGTGAGAACTGGACTCCTGTGTTTAGTTTCCACTTCCCCAAATACAGCCACATTCCAGATCTGCCTTCCTGAGATTACACCCTGGGAATGTGATCTGTGGATTACTGTGGTTGTGGATGTGAGGAAACTCTTCATTCATACTTTTCCAAAAGTCAGCTTATGGCCAGTCTCATCCACTGGGTGATGATTATACTCTTAGATGGCAACTTTATTTTTTAAGCTTTTGGAAGGGTATGCCACCCACACAAGCCCATTGGTTGATTTTCACTTGGTCCTCTTAGGAATCCCCACACAGTGGGTAGCATAGCTCATTTTAGCATAAAGAAACGGCTCAGAAGGGCTGGGTAACTGACCTGATTCATCGACTAACTGGTAGTATTGTCAAGAATTGAGACGAGATCTCCACACTCACAGTCCAGTTCACCTGAGGGGAGCAGTGTCTTTGACCTTTGAAGCGGCTGATCCATCCAGCTTCCATGCCCAGTGTGTGGTTGTCTGCTGCCCAGTACTGTGATAGACCTTGGAAAAGCAGACTGGGCAGCAAGGGAAAGAGAAGAAACTGTGTTTAGATTACAGAAACAGGCACCTTTGTGCTTTAACAGAGAAAGCTAGGTGATCTGCATTCTCTGTGCTGTGGGAGAAAGGTCAAATGCCTATAAAGTAGTAACAGCCCTTTCCATGTAACCTACACCCCCTTGCTCTAGCTAGCCTCATCTGCTTGACTTCCCATTTTCTTTTTTTGTTACTGTTCTTAGGATTCCTCTCCCCCTACAACTAGCAGCAGAGCCCACTCCTCTTCATCTCAAAGATGAGCGTTACTGGTTTTTACTGCTGCTCACAATAACATAACATTAAACAACCAAAGAGGGGCCGGCCCTCTGGCTTAGCGGTTAAGTGCGCGCGCTCCGCTACTGGCAGCCTGGGTTCGGATCCCAGGCGTGCACCGATGCACCACTTGTCCAGCCATGCTGAGGCTGCGTCCCACATACAGCAACTAGAAGGATGTGCAACTATGACATACAACTATCTACTGGGGCTTTGGGGAAAAAAAAGGAGGAGGATTGGCAATAGATGTTAGCTCAGAGCCAGTCTTCCTCAGCAAAAAGAGGAGGATTGGCATGGATGTTAGCTCAGGGCTAATCTTCCTCACAAAATAAATAAATAAATAAACAACCAACCAAAGATAACAAGGGAATCATACAGTTCTTAGAGGAATTGTCCCAGGCTTACTGTTCCCAATGTCATCTCTAGTGGTACACAGATGTTTCTCTTTAACAGAGCTCAGTTCCCTATTTATCTTTTTCTAGGTTTGCCTTTCAGGATAAAAACCGAAATTCCATAGCCTGGCATAGAAGGCTGCCGTGATCTGGCACTTCTCCCCATTCAGCCTCCTTGAAACAGTCCTTCAGGGTGTCTGTCTAGATGTCACGCCTCCAGGAAAGCATCTCTGGTCGGCCTGGTGCCCCACCTCTGTGCTTGTCTCTGACTGTATCCCACCAGGGCAATGGCCTGTTTGCTTGTCTTACTGGCAAGATGGTGAGCTCCCTGAGAGTCTGCATTACTGTGTACCTAGCACCGGGCACATGGAAGAGGCATGACAACTCTGTTTCTTGAGGAACTTGAGGACAGTCAGGCATATCCAGATTCATATTCTAATCCTGCTTCCTAGTCTTCCTCCATTTTGCATCACTGATTTTTTAACAGTTTCATTGAGGTAAAATTTACATACCTTAACATTCACCTATTTTAAGTGTGCAATTCAATGATTTTTAGTAAATGTACAGAGTTGTGCAACCATTACCACTATCCCATTTTAGAATATTGTCATCACTCCAAAAAGTTCCCTCATGACTGTATGCAGTTAATCCCCACTCTCACCCTCATCCTTGAGCAACCACTATTTTGCTTTCTGTCTCTACAGATTTTCCTATTCTGGATATTTCATATAAATGAATCATACAATATGTGGTCTTTTGTGTTTGGCTTCTTTCTTTAGAATAATGTTTTTGAGATTCATCCATGTTGTAGAATGTATCAGTAACTTGTTTCTTTTATTGTTCCTGAATAGTCTGCCACTGTATGGATATACCACATTTTGTTTATCCATTTTTTTCCACTAACTGATGGATATTTAGATTGTTTCCAGTTTGGGGCTATTATGAATAATACTGCTATGATGTACAAGTCTTTGTGGACATATATTTTCATTCCTCTTAGGTAGATTCCCAGGAGTAGAATTGCTGGGTCATATGACAAGTTTATGTTTAACTTTTTAAGAAACTGACGAGCTTTTCCAAAGTAGCTGTACCATTTTACAATCCCACCATCAGTGTACAAAGGTTCAGGTTTCTCCACATCCCTATCAACTCTTGGAACTGTCTTTTTGATTACAGCCATTCTAGTGGATGTGAAGTGGCATTTCATTGTGGTTTTAATTTGCATTTCTCTAACAACTAATGATATTTTAAGCGTCTTTTCATGTGCTTGTTAGCTAACAAGCTATTTGTATATCTTTAGTGAAATACCTATTCAAATCTTCCCCATTTTTAAATTGGGTCACGTGTCTTATTAATTAAGTTGTAAGGAGTCTTTACATATTCTGGATATAAATCCTTTATCAGATATATGATTTGCAAATATTTTCTCCCAGTCTGTGGCTTGTCTTTTCATTTTCTTAACGGCGTCTTTTGTATTGTAGAAGTTTTTAATTTGGTGAAGTTTGATTTACCAATTATTTCTTTTATGGGTCGTGCTTTTGGTATCATATCTTAAGAACTTTCTACCCAACCCAAGGTCATGAAGAAATTCTTCTAGAAGTTTTATAGTTTTAGCTCTTATGTAGGTGTATGATTCATTTTGAGTTAATTTTGAAAAACTCATCTTTTTGTGTGTGGATATCTGTTTGTCTCAGCACATTTGTTGTAAAGACTATCTCTTCCTCCGTTGAATTGCTTTGGTACCTTTGTTGAAATCAGTTGACCATAAATATAAGGGTGTATTTCTAAACTCTTAATTCTGTTCCATTGATCTTACATGCCTGTCCATGAGCCAATACCACACTGACTGTATGGATATTGATTTCTCCAGCTTTAAAGTAAGTCTTAAAATTGGATAATGTAAGTTCTTCAACTTTGTTCTTTTTCAAAATTCTTTTGATTATTTTAGGTACTTGCATTCCCATAAGACTTTTATGAACTGCTTGTCAATTTCTACAGAAAAGCTTTCTGGAGTTTTAATAGATATTGTGTTGAATTTATAGATCAATTTGGGGAGAATTGCCATCCTGACAATGTAAAGTCTTCCAACCCATGAACATAGAATGTTTGTCATTTGTTTAGATCTTGCTTGATTTCTCTCAGCTTTGTCATTTTCAGTGTCAAGTCTTACACTTATTTTGTTAAAATGTTCATAAGCATTTTTATTTTTTATGCTATTGTGGATGGAAATGCTTGCTTGATTTTATTTTCTAATTTTTTTGGTGCTAGTATACAGAAGTACCATTGATTTTTTTGTATATTGATCTTGTATCCTGTAACCTTGCTAAACTCAGTTTTTATCTTTTTAAAAATTTTTCATGTGTGTGTATTCCTTGGATTTTCTACAAACATGGTATGTCATCTGTGAATAAAGACAGTTTTACTTTTTCCTTTCCAATCTGGATGCCTTTAATTTTTTCCTGCCTTATTACACAGTATAATGTTGTATAGAAGTGGCAAAAGTGGACATCCTTGCCTTGTTCTTAATCTTAGGGAAGAAGACATTCAGTCCTTTACTGTCAAATATGTTAAGCTGTGGGTTTTTCTTTTTTTTTTTTAAGATTTTATTTTTTTTCCCCAAAGCCCCAGTAGATAGTTGTATGTCATAGTTGCACATCCTTCTAGTTGCTGTATGTGGGACGCGGCCTCAGCATGGCGGTAGAAGCGTTGCGTCGGTGCGCGCCCGGGATCCGAACCCGGGCCGCCAGTAGCGGAGCGCGCGCACTTAACCGCTAAACCACGGGGCCGGCCCAAGCTGTGGGTTTTCATCAATGACCTTTTTCAAGTTGAGGAAGTTTCATTCTATTTTTAATTTGTTGAGAATAGGTATTAGATTTCATCAAATGCTTTTCCTGCATGTACTGAGATGATCATGTGGGTTTTGTCCTTTAACCTGTTAATGTGGTATGTAACACTGATTTTCAAGATGATTGATCCAACATTGCATTCCTGGGATAAATCCCACTCAGTCATGGTGTATAATCCTTTTTATGTTGCTGGATGTGGTTTGCTAATAGTTTGTTAAGTATTTTTGAATCTATGTTCACTAGAGATATTTTCTGTCATTTTCTTTACTTTATATCTTCCTCTACTTTATATGTGGGACGCCACCACAGCATGGCTTGATGAGCGGTGTGTAGGTCTGCACCGGGATCTGAACCCACGAACCCTGGGCCACCAAAGCGGAGCACGCAAACTTAACCATTACGCCACTGGGCCAG